TGTGAAATCTTACGAAACTCACGTTTTGAATAATCTATTCCCTCTTTATATTTCTCTTTGAATGTTAGGTTACCAACATAATAATAGAAAAAGAAACAAGAAACACTTACTATACAGAGATTGAGTATGTTATATAAAAACGATTTTGGAGTCTCACCACGTAGATATAGTCCATGTCGCCACGTTTGGTCATGCTGTATCCAACGGCCGTAGTTTCATACAAAATGCACCGTCGTAAAGCATACCACACCTCACTGCTGACTTTCCATAATCCATCTAATGTATGAGTTCGTTCATTTTCCGGCACCCGTTTAAACAGTCCGATCGCGAAAAATACATAGGTAAGTTCACAGATATGTTTTTTGTAGTTTTTATACATTTCGTACCATCGCGACTTTATATGAGCTGTGGTCGTCACATGACTTACTGATTTGTATATTCAAATTGTACTCAACCCTTTGTATATTTTCTATGTGTGTTTGGTGGCTACTGTTTTGGCACAATTTTTAAGAATTATTGGCATATTTCCTTCAAAGTTATATAAGTGCGACTAGTCCCTGTTTCAATAACTATTTATTATGTAATGATTTTAGCGTTGTATTCATTTTAATTGTACATATAAATTTATTACACAAATGTTATTTCAAATTATTTTAGTTGTATATATATAGTGTTTTTGCTGGTTGTAAATATTGAATAACCTAGGTTTTTCAAGAGCATAGAATTGAAAATTTATTACTAAAAACTTCCCAATTTATCGTAAAGAAAACACAATTTTGGGAGGAATTTGGAAGGTGACATGAATGTATAAAGTCAACATCTTATTACATAGGAAATACAATTCATTAGGTTCACTTGGAATGAACGATTTATGACAGTATCTCAAAAGCAGATTTATTTAAATGTTGAATATTTAAACTTAAAAGCTTCCTGAGAAATAGTTACAACTTAATTGGTTAACGAAGGCTCTTTCGAAGTTACGGTTTCGATGTTTTCGGCTCTCTTTGAGATTTTGGAGACAGCAATTCATTAAGTCAGAGCTAGAATTATTAGGTTCTTTATTAATTTGTAAAAAAAATATATTTTTTGTAGATTTGAAGTCAGTATTCACTAAATGAAGGACATTTACGATCATTTCGATTCACTTTAACATAAAAATGTAAATGTATGATATCACGATTTGATTTGATTTTCTGATAATGAGTGCCGCTATTCTTTTAAAGTTGTGTGTAATATACATTTATATGTTGCAGAACGAATTATTTAACATCTATACGTCTACGGAGTTTCTCGGTGGGTCAGCGGAAAGCTTAAAGACTTAAACTGCTAAAATCTGAGGTTCGATTCTTCACGGTGGATAGAACGCAGATAGCCTATTTTGAAGCTTTGCGCTCAGAAAACAACAACTAAGATTTTATGTACGATAATGAATAATTACTTGTAGGTTTAGGAATTTCTAACTTGTAAAGGACTCTTTTTGGGGGGCTGGCATGGCCAGGTGGTTAGGGCGCTAGATTGCAATCTGCGGGTTTTATCGCGGTTCCACCAAATATGATCGCTCCTTCAGCCGTGAAGGAGTTATAATGTGACGGTCAATCCCACTATTCATTGATAAAAGAGTAGCCCAAGATTTGGCTGTTGGTGGTGGGTAGCTATCTTCCCTCTAGTCTTTCACTGTTAAATTAGGGATGGCTAGCGCAGATAGCCCTCGTGTAGCTTTGCGCGAAATACAAAACAAACCAAACACTTTTTTTTTTCAATATTTTTGGTATCTTCTAAAACCTTCCCGAACTTTCTGTAATTCAATCTTCTGTCTTCGTTGACTCTGTGATTCATTCTGTAACTTTTATTTGGTTAGTAAACATTCTTTTTATTCAGAAACAAAAATGCTCTCTGGAATTGCTCTTTGCAGCGTAACAAATGAAAGGTTTATAAACATTCCAATTTACATAATTTAATATATAATAACTGATTTTTCTACACATTCATTCATAATAGTTCTGATCAGTTGCCATCAACAATTTTGACACTCATTATCTTAAGAAAATAACGATGGTCTTAAGATATAATAATATACAGACCATTTTAGCTCAATATCTTTATTTACAGTGCTCAATGACAGTAATGACGTAAGCACGGTTGGCTTTAAAATTGACTTGAGCTGATTATTCATGACGAAGGCGTACGTTTGGTATTCCTTATCATAGTGAAACAATGTTAGTCTTTTTCCACTACATTAAACGTAAAACATATAATCATGATGAAACGTGAATTTTATTTTATATACTTGTAATTCAGCATTCTCAGCTTTCCACCGTTACGTTGTACAAGGAAGATTGTTGCTGTCACTTGTGAGAAGGATTCCATAGGTTTAATATTTGTGTAATTTTTCTAAAAGTGTTTTAATCTCGGGATTACGTGTACAGAACAAATATGACCACTACAGCTGGTTGACAGGCACAGCACGACTTTAAAGTATTGTTTTATGTGTCCACGTCCAGGTTCACTCAACAAAGGCCTAGTTATGTGTATGAAAAAAAGGGCTTTTACGAAAATTGTTCGCTGTAAAAAATTACTGTAGATTGAACCAATTCATTGTTATGAAATGTTTCAGAAGAAACCTTTTTCAAAAGTCAAACTATAAGGAATGAGACGGTTTCAGAAAAGTTATACAACGTAATCATTGTTAATCACGATCAAACATTTCCATTGTTTCTGTCATCGTTTATATAATGACATTTTTAGTACAAATGCGAATCTTTGGACGTGATAAATAAGTTTTAAAAATAATAAAAGAGCGCAATTTCTAACATAAGTAATTTATGATACTAGGCTTTTCCGTAATTGATATGTTTACAGGGCTTTTGGAAATTTTCCAGTGCGCATGCTATCTTTTTTTTCTCTCAAAAAACTAACAGCGATATGTGTAATTTCTTCACGTTTTATTGTCTAATATTGTGCGGGTTGTGTAAAGGTTAAACTGATTGAGTAAAAATGTTGTAATTTTCTGTTGTCTAATTAATACTCATCCAGAACTTATATATACTTTGCCTTTAGAAGCACATAAACGATGTTGTTACTGTTCTTTTAGTTCGAAGCTAAACATGAGCTCTATCCACCGCCTGGAATCGAACCCCGGAGTTTAAGGTTCTAATTCCTTAAAGTTACGACTGACCCACGGGGTGACCACGGAGACGAAGCCATCCGAGAAAGTTAATTTCATGACCGACTTTTAATTCGTCATATTATCGTCAAACTTTAAAATATGATAGTCAATTTCTGGTTTACTGTGCACTTTTCTCGAGACATTTTTGAAATGATTTAAAACCAAGCAATAATGAGACCGTCCAAGAGAGTTGGTTTCACGATATACATTTTAATTCGTCACATTTTCGTCATACTTTAACATACGGTTACAAGAAATAGACAATATCTGGTTTAAAACAGACTTTTCTCAGAGTAATCTTTGAAATGACTGACAACCAAGCAGCTATTTTAAATGTTTTGCCTAGAATTCACGAAAAGTTGGATCAAAGCAATGTGAAGCACTGGTCAAAAGATAACTTGTAAGAAAAAGGAATTCAATGTTTTATTATCGAATTTTGAGTTTTTATCAATAATATATTATATACATTAAGCTGAAGTGTGCGATGTGGATGTTTTTACAACTAAATAAATGTGCTAAATAATATAGTACTACATACATCATGTTTTCATTTGGCAAGTTATACTAAAAAGCGTGTTCTGTTACTTTAGAAACCTTATTCAGTGTGTTTGCTGCTAGAGTTCTTCAAGATGTTGAATTAGTTGAGATTTGGCATCTCTGAATAAACGAAATAATATTTTGTCACAATAATTGCTTAAAAACAAGACGTACATGTGAAGCACTGATAGACAAAATCTGTATGTTAAACAGTTGACACTGGTATTATGCAGTGGAACCAACATTTAACATTGCCGTAACTATTATTATACTGCTATTTTTGTTTGAAAATACTTCTATCACTATCTTTTTAGGGCCCGGCATGGCCAGGTGGTTAGGGCAATCTGCGGGTCGCCGGTTCGAATCCCCGTCACTCATTTTTTTGAGACTGTTTTTGACTTTGAAATCCTCATCTTCCAAACACCAAATACGCATACATGTAGCTCATGTTGACATGTTCAAAATCAGTTAACGTAGTGATTTCCTTTCGGGTTTTACTTTAGTCAGTATTTCGACTCGGGCCCGGCATGGCCAGGTGGTTAGGGCAATCTGCGGGTCGCCGGTTCGAATCC